AGTCTGCTATCTGTCTTAGTTGGTTTCAGCACAAGCAGTTTAACCATATTGACTTTGGCACTCAGTGTGACTTCCTCAAAAGCCATTCTACCACTCAATAGTTAGGTACTACTAGAAAAGGTAATAAAAAATGGGTCATAGGAATAACTATTATCTAAAAGTTTCATTTACAAAATATCTATGGACTTCGCACTAAAAATTCAATCTTATCCAATATTGTGGCCAACTATAATGGGTATACGGCAGGTGTTTCTTAAGGATTGTATTTAACAACTTAGCTTTCAAGTCTAATATATCGCCCTCTGCTCAGATGCACCTTCCACAGTATGCCGACAAAACATTAACTATAGTTTTAAGGTTTAAACGCTTACAACCACACTTCCATGCACCTGAGATTTGTTGCACCTCTCGACGAATAACACAGGGAGCGGCGCGGTATTATAAATAGTACTAGTACTATACTTACAGTATAGTACTAGTAGGGCACACTATTTAGTGTCGACAGGCTGAGTCTAAGCCCAAGTAATGAACCAGTCATGAAATGAGCAGTAACGAGCCGCGACACAGATAAAAGCGTCTGCTACCAGTACCATACCACAAGCTTAACTGAAAAGATCAAGCATGCGTCCTTCGGAACAAAGGATTATAGTATAGAACCATTACTCATTATAGAGCTCTTGCTCGAGCGGCGTTCGTCTTGGCTACTAACCGTAAACTCAAGTAGTGTGCTCTACAACTTAGCAGCTTTCGTTAACTATTTATCTAGTATTCAAGTTAACTACAACCGATCAGCTTAGGCAAATTAGATTTAAAACTTGCTTCAGCTGGCAATGCCAGTACTAAACGTCAAAAGGTCAAACAAGTAAACAGTAGTTATCTGTTTGTGTGGTATTGCTTGATACCTTTATAAAGTCATTTAAATTGCGAGCAATTCTCCTAACGTCCTAATTACTTAAACTGTGCACAAGTCGAATACAGGTAAGATAGAACCTGCTGAAGGACTTCATTTAACTTTAGGTTTTTGTCAATTTTAAGAGCATGTCTTTCGACACGCGCGTCTCTATCATGTCATAATTTGGATAGCTATTGCAACCTGTGGCTCACCTTGGTACAGTTCAGCTCACGATTCAGAGCTTAGCAAAGGAAGGTACCATAATCACGATCCTAGGTTGGTTGAATAATCAGATAACGAGTCCAAGCTTCAAAGAGGAAGCTAGCCATGTTGGTCTTAGGTTAATATATAATCCGCCTAAGCAGAGGGCTTCAAGGATGATCGTTGTCGTGACACCATCGGATAGTAGAGGTGACATGACCAAAGCAAAGATAAATCTTCATCCGAACGGTATTCCATCCAAGGATGACAACCTATTAAGCGACGTAGATCGAAACCATCCGTAACCCGCAAGGAATAACCTAAAGTTAAAAACGTTTTTTATTTATAGGACCTTCTGGGCCACTTATACTGCCAGGCGCCTGGAAACCTTTGAGTCTAGTTTTTACTAGCCTGCAGAGTGTACGATACAAAGCGAATGCTCACAAAGCAAACAGTTAATGACCCCATTAAGATCACCAACCTATGCAGTTGCCAAAATCAACAACTAAATAGACAAAGGTCTTAACTGCCGCAGTCGCAGCTAAGTAAAGGTTGCTTTGCACGTCCCACGCTAAGTTACAAGTGAGGTACAAAGACATTCAAGTTAGATGATCGCACAGGACATGCGAGAAACAACGAGCAGATTTCTCTGCTCTTATGAGTGATTTTGAAGACATTAATAATGTAAAAATCGTCTTCAAAAATTATAAACAGTGCTTCTACCTATGAAAATAATAAATACAAAAGTCAAAGTAAATTAGATAAAGTTAGTATAGGTAGAAGCACTAAAATAGATCTGTTAAAGGTAGTTAGTAAGATAAAAAGTTAAAAACAATAAGATAGAAAGTTAAATAACTACCTAAAGGGTAACCAACCTAGGATCGTGAAAAAAAAATCGTGATTATGATGCCTAGGATCGTGATTATGGTCACACTGTCCAGATCTAAAGGAGGAGCATGTCCCAAGAGAAGATAACAGATTAAAGGACACGCTCCATAACCAAGATTACTTCCTAGTTGAAGGTGGCTAGTTCATTCCTAGTCTAAGGTTACTAGTTTCTTCCTACTCGATTCAAAGGTAGTTTAAGCAGGCTGTTTCACCTTGGTGTCTCAACCCTAACACAGGGAGCCAAGATAAGGTTAGAAATATTGCTTACCAAGGCTTGTTTCAAACTTAGAGCTTCGGTGTATTAGCTTAGAATGAGAGATAAAGCTTAACTTAGAGGCCTTAGCTACAAAGTAGAACTAAAAGTCTAGAAGCAAGTGCTAAATTACCTGTATCAGAGAACTGGTCAACGTGTGTAGAATAACTTTTAGATCAGGAAGGGTATGTAACAGTCAGTTTACAGTTAGTTTGTTTTAATTTTCTTTAAGGAAGTTAATTTCTTCCTCAGGCTCGTAAGGAGAACCTTGGTTCCAAGAGAGATCTGTTAGAGGTAATTAAGTTAGTTTAATAATTTATTATAAATAGTAAGATAAAAGTTAAAGATATAAGTTAATAAGGTATAAAGTTAATTTACTACATCTAACAGATCTCTAAACCAATCGTCAATGGTAGAAAATAACCACGAGATTACTACAACATTCAACAGGTAGCAGAGTCTCGGTTTCAACTAGGGTTAAATAAAAGTATATTACTTTGAGCTTTGGTGACATAGTGTAAATCAAGGTAGAAAGTTTAGTCGTGATTATGGTACCTTGCTAAGATAACCATTGTCTTCTAACCTTAGCTACAAAGCTAAAACCAAGATTACCTCCTAGTGTTTAAGATGCTAACTAGTTTCTTCCTGTTAAGATGTTTGTAAACAGGTTGTTTCACCTTGGGGTAGTGTATGAAACTTTACGAAAGCTGCAAGATATAGCTAACGGTTCAAGGAGCCAAAAGGGCTCATAACGATCCCACTAAGATCGCCAACCTATGCAGTAGCCAAAGTGTTAAACTATCAAACAACTAAGGTCTTACTTGCTGCAGTCACAGCAAAGTTTCGGATGGTAGCGCAAGGCAAGCGCCAAAGTTAGTAAGATTTTAGAATATACAAAGCGTTGGCACAAGCGCTAAACCATCGAGAACAAGTTAATTTCAAGTTCTCTAAAGTTCTACTTTGGGATAACACAAATACCACTCTATAAATGATAAATCATTATACCAAAGTAGAACGAAAAAAAAAAGTAATTTTCAAAACTTTCTTTTTTTTATATCTAGCAATCCCGCTCTTTCTGCTTTCGCCTGTCGACTCAGCTTGCTGAGTGCACCGACAGGTCCTGCTAGTGAACAAAGAGAAAGTTTTGAAAATTACTTTTTTTTTTCGTTCTACTTTGGTATAATGATTTATCATTTATAGAGTGGTATTTGTGTTATCCCAAAGTAGAACTTTAGAGAACTTGAAATTAACTTGTTCTCGATGGTTTAGCGCTTGTGCCAACGCTTTGTATATTCTAAAATCTTACTAACTTTGGCGCTTGCCTTGCGCTACCATCCGAAACTTTGCTGTGACTGCAGCAAGTAAGACCTTAGTTGTTTGATAGTTTAACACTTTGGCTACTGCATAGGTTGGCGATCTTAGTGGGATCGTTATGAGCCCTTTTGGCTCCTTGAACCGTTAGCTATATCTTGCAGCTTTCGTAAAGTTTCATACACTACCCCAAGGTGAAACAACCTGTTTACAAACATCTTAACAGGAAGAAACTAGTTAGCATCTTAAACACTAGGAGGTAATCTTGGTTTTAGCTTTGTAGCTAAGGTTAGAAGACAATGGTTATCTTAGCAAGGTACCATAATCACGACTAAACTTTCTACCTTGATTTACACTATGTCACCAAAGCTCAAAGTAATATACTTTTATTTAACCCTAGTTGAAACCGAGACTCTGCTACCTGTTGAATGCGGTAATGATCAAACTAGGCATTTTTAGTTAGCTGTAAATTTTAAATTAAAATAGATTAGACACCTAACTTAATTTAAAACATAAAGGACAAGCTCTTAAAAAAATGGAACATCTTTACAAATGATTTCACGGGCTGTAAGTCGAAAACTTGTTTACTATAGGCAGTAAAGTAATATAATATAGGTAATATAAAGTATATTATTAACAAAAAAAGTGATATAATATAGAAAGGTCGAAGTACTAGAAAGCGCTATAAATTTGTTTAATTACTATAGACTCCAAGTCACTAACTCCACCGCACAACATTTAAAGAAAAAAAATTGCAGGGGGTGCGGAGCCCAACTTCTATAGTCACATGCGCACTGCCCTTGAACATTATCCCCTCTTTTTGTAAACAGTAAAAAATGAGAACTTTAGAATATAGTCGAAGCCAATTAAATTATTAAAAAAAAGGGGCCAATAATGTTATATGACGTTTCAGTTAAGCATACTCTTCTCCTATAGTCTTTAATAAACTACAAGGTGCGAAACATTTACTTAGACCATTTACGCAAACTATCATTTAGTGCGAATTAATTCATTTTCAAAGCTAATACAAATTTTAATTTGATTACCTTATCACCGAAAACGAATTTTTTCACAACGCTATAACTTACAATACTTTAAAATCTACCTATAATAAAAAAGTTGTTGATCATGGTTCTCTGCAGCGGTTTTTTTAATTACACTAGGCCGAGTGGTAAAAGCTTACAAGGTGCTTTACGCTTCTTAAACTATAGTGATGAAACATCTAAAGTCCCCTCCCAGCTGACTGCATAACATAAATTTATTAGAAGTTATAAAGAATATACTTAAAAATTATATATAATTTAGAAGATACAAGGTTCATACTTATGATAACAAACGTGCACTTGAACACGGATTTATTTAGTAATGCTACCAATCAACTCTTTTCATAGTTAAAAAATTTTAAAAAATAACTTTTTATAGTAAAATTTTAATGTTTGCCTTTCTTAAGTTTAAGGGCGGTGTGAACCTTGTATCGGTGAGCGCTTTTTATGCTCAAAACTATGAATTTCTGTAACTGCGTTCTAATTCTTTTTTTTGCCATCGCGAGTGTTAAAGGATTGTATTTTTACTTGTCGGAAGGCGAACTTCAATGCTTTTTAGAAGATGTCCCTGAGCATACAACGGTGACTGGTTACGATTTTAAGCTTAATTTTGACTTTTGTTAAAACGACTCACTTAAGGTAAATACGATTTATCTTACGAAGATTTAACTAAGAAGGAAGACCCCATGTTATCGGTTTTAGTGACTGTTAGCAATTGTTATCAGCTGCTCATTATTTAATTGATTAATAAAGCATTTTAAATTATATATTTTAAACAGAACCCTTCTGAAAATACTGTAGTAGATCAACTTTATCGTCGCTCAAAAGATGTTTTTTCTTTCATCTCTCAAGAGCCTGGGTTTTTACTCTATGTCCTCATCACCTTTTTTAATTAGTATTGTACTAACAGAGAACATAAAATTTGTATTAAAGTCCACGGTAAAGGCTGGCAGTCAACAAATAAAATAGTATTTTTTTGCTTCGTTTTTTTTTAGTGTATAGAATATAATTATTATTAATGTTTGTCTAAATTAACCTATAGAAAGTTGTATTTCAGCTTAACACTGGAGAAGATAATGAGGAGGATGATAAACAGAGTAAGTTAGATGAAATTCAGCTACAGGTGAATTTTTAAATTTTGTCCAACCATAAACATATGGTTTAATTTTTTTATTTTACAAGACCTATAAACTAACAGTTCAAGCTGAAGAAATAAGCAAGGAACAGGAGTTTCAACGGGTCAAAATATTGATAATTATTTTATAAAGTTTTTAAATTTACGCAAATTGACATTCTTCTAAATGAGAGGGCTTGTGGCTATATTAAAAAGAAATTTTTTATTTTTAAGCAGAGGTTTTATTCATGTTATATCAACGCCTAGGTCCGCGAGGAAAAATTTCGACGTCTTAGCGAAACAACGGAAGCGAGACTTTTTTATTGGTCTTTTTTTCAACTTGTGATAGTTCTTGGTAATTTTTTTATTTTTTGGCTCCCACTTGGTGGCCGGGTTTCGTTTTAAAAAAAATATATAATATTTTTTTATGAAAAATTACATAATCAAAGTAAATATAAAAATATTTTAAATTTAAAAAAATATATTTTTTTAGGATTACAATAAATATAGAATAAAATAATAAAATAATAAAATAATAATTTTACCATTAGCTGTGATACTACACGATTTAACTTACTGCCTTCCGTATTCTTATAATAACAAGACTTTCTATTTTTTGATTTGTGAGGTCGCACCTCTTCTGTGTTAAACTTTATATGTAGTATGTTTTATTATAGCGTTTAAAGACTTTATTGTTTTGGAGTTAAATAAAGTTCTAGTAAACAAATAAAATTTTTCTTGGTAATTACAGTTCGATCACAGCGGTGGGCCCCTTTTACTTAGCTTTTGTATACTGTTCAATATATTGCCGTTTACTTGCAAAACCTTGTTCAGACCATAAAAAATCAATTATAAGAAACCCCCAATAGTTGTTAGTTTATATTATAATTATTAAGTCGTCTACTTATCATTGCCTCTAACAGTTATTTAGTACCTCAATGTTACTGTTTAAATCTCCTTATTTCCTGTTGTAACTTACTTTATGTTCTCTACAATCTTTCTATAGCAACTGGCTTCTGGCAGATGAACCACTTGCGCAACTTTTTTCAATTAAAAAAAATTCTTTAAGCATATATGCTTACATATATATAATAAAGGTTCTCTAATTCCACTTTAAGTGATCTTACTGTTCTCAGAGATATTTATTTTATTTCTCTTAAACAAGCAAAGGCTTACTGTAAACATAATTATATAATAATCTACAAAGGTTATAGTGCAGACAGTATCTGCTTGAAAATTCTTATGAAATATGCACACGTATTTGATAATTCTAATATAACACGACAGTAGTTTTTTTCTAACAGGATTAGCAGAAAAATTAATTGTTTTTTGGCATACCTGCAAGTAATATCGTAAATAAATAATAAAAACACAAGTTACCTTTGTAAACCTTATTGCACAGATCACAGAAGCACGTTAATTAATTTTTTGTCGCTCTTAATAAGTTTAAGGCGGTTTTTGATATAACATCTATTATTAAAAACGATGCCTTATAATCTCCTAACAATGTAAACTCCAAGTACAAGATCTAAAAAGAGAAGGATCTGACGCCAGTTCAAAATAGTTAAGCGAAAACTTGCGGCTCAGAAAGTTAACGGCGACATGAATCAGAATAAAATGTTATGGTATAAAATTTATGTAGGAGTAGGAAGAAGCCATAAAGAAGGTAAAAGGAAACCAGTAAAATTACAGAATACAAAAATATGAATGAAATAAGCGTCACGTATAAAGGAAATGTTAGTTGCAATGGCTTATGTTTGATAAATATTTGCCTGCTTCATTTTAATATATAATTGATGTATAAATTATATGTCAAGGTAATTGGTAATGAATAAGAATTTGAGTAACAAAAAACCTTTTAATTTGAAAGAGAACTATGTAAAGGCTTACAGCCCTGAGATCGCTTAAATTCGACTAGAGTTCTCTATACTTTTTTGCTTTTAAAATACAGGATACGTTACTTCGGCTACCAAGTTTAAAAAATATTTTTTTAGGGTAAAGCAGCTTGCATAAGGAAAGAGAGAGTCTTCATTTATTTAATATTTCTATATTGCACATCGTTACTAAGCTGTGCTAGCTTCCCCTTAGATTTCCCTCCACGCCAAAAAGTGGACGCCTACTTTAAGGAGACAAGAAATTAGTTAAGGTGTCGAGCTCTAACACCCTTCAAGACTACTATCAACTTGATACCTTTTAAAAAATTTACCTCCCCCGCCCCCCTCACAGGGAAGACACGGGAGTACGTCCACTTTTTTTGGGACGAAATCCTCGCTTTTAAATTTTGTTATTAATAACTTTACTGCCAAAAATGAGCTCTGGACTGGAGTATCTTGTTAATAAACGTATTTGAGCTGTAGATCGACTAATAAATTAGAAGAGTATGTCCCTTATTAACCTCACCTACATAAACTTTTGCAAGGGGCGCGTTCACTTCCAGCATGGGACTCGCAAACCGAAACATGTTACCATATTTAATTTGTGATGAGTAAAAGTAAAAAATTTAAGACATTTTATATACTCGCGTTATTGTTTGTAATGTTTAACTGTTAATATACTTAAATCTTTTATCTATTTTAAGCTACATTTACAGTATTATACTAAACATGTGATACTTACGCACTGATCTCTTCTTAACTAAACTTCTACGTTTACCTGCATCAAGCAAACTATTTATAAAAGCTGCGCCGCAAGCTACTTTCCCTCAGAGCTCTTGAGATCACTAGTACTTTTACTGAGGAGCCCATTTATAATTAGTTAAACCACTAGTAAATCATTTTTGAAACTTTACCCGGAGCTTTCTTTAGCAGAGCTCATATGGCAAATTATGTCCTTGCCTAGTTATCTTTTTTTTAAAGGTGTTACTTTTAATTAGGAGTGTTCATAATGGCCGCGACTTAGCTTATTAATGTATACATAATTTCTGGCTTATATAGCGTCCTTTGAAAATACTATGCTAACTAATATATAATTAAATGACGTCTTTCATGACGTTTTCCCGCAGGGAAGATCTTATCTCTGATTACTCTGCATTGTGTTTCCTGAGTGAAAGGTGTTTGGTTCATGGAGGCAGCCTAATTTCTGTGTATATCATAAATTATGTCTACTAAATTAATTATACATTTATTCCTACCTTGGATATATATATATGTATAGGCTTTTTACAGTCATTACCTGTGATGGTGCCCTTCTAAAAATAACATTGTAAAAAAAAATTATATAAAAGATATAGCACCTTTATTTTTGGTACGAGGTCTCTAGTCTCTAAGTTAATCTATATTAATTTTACGTGCTTTAGGAGACTCGGGTTTACTTTTGGCAATCTTTATCATCAAAACTCCGTGATCGTAGTTAGCAAATATGTCTTCTTCCTTGACATTTTCGGGCAAATGAAAACTTCGATTGTATGTCCCGCTAAATCTTTCTCTTCTGTGCCAAGTAATACCCTTCTCTTCAGTATCTTCATTACTAATTTCCTGTTTAGCTGAAAGTGTTAATACATTATTTTTTAATTCCAAATGGATATTTTTTTTATCGACGCCAGGGAAGTCAGCTTCAATTCTATAGCAGTTGTCGTCCTCTTGAATGTTGCATCTAGGAAAGAGGTCACGCTGTCGAAAATTAAAAACGGTTGACCCATCGAACTCAGTTGAATCTCGGGGTAGAAAATTTCGTAACAAAGACATAATATAAGCGATGTCTGATGGATTGGATGAAGCTTATACTTAATATAAATAATCGCTGAGCGTTAACAGATGCCATATTTGTGTAAAATTACATAATTTTTAAATATTTAACTTTTTATTGTAGGTTACCCAATAAGTAAATAAAATAATTTTTTTCTTGCGCATTATTGTAATACATCACGTGTTGATTAAATACATCAAAACGGGCAGTGTATAATTCGGTTTTTCTTCTTGACGGCTGTTGCAATGCCCGCGAGCACTGGTATATTAACTCCTATGCTGTTTAACAATTCAACGTTTATTTTTACTTTAAAAATGGAGTTATTAGATCAGGAACCAATACAAAAATAGAACTTTGCCTCTAATCAAAAGATGGTAAATGTTTTACCTGTTGAATATTGGTCATTAATAAACGCTGCGCATAATCGACACCATTGAAATGAACAATATCATTTTTGCCAAAAGAAAATCTTTTAAAAAGATTTATACAGTTAAACTGGATGGTTAGTATAATCGTCTTACCTTACCTCTCGTTTTCCTCTCTCTTGAACTCCTTTTTTTATTTGTTTGATAAAATGTGCAACGTTCCGTGCTAATAAGAGTTTTCTGGGTGTATATAACTTTTTTAAGAAAAAAAATTACGTTTTTTTTCTCTTTCATGACTTCCAGTTGTTCGTCTCTCTCCTAATTTAATTCTAACCCTTTCTCGATGCCTTCGATTGGAGCACAGCACTCTCGTGAAAGGTCCGCCCGTTAAATCAAGGGTTACGGTCAGTGGAGAGGATGCAGGAGGCGTGCCTTAGCTCTATGGACGTGCCACCCGTATTGTCGTTGAGCAGTAATTAAGACGTACAAAGTGGAAGTACCAGTGTCATGCCTTCTTTTAAAAAGGTATCAGTCACCCAATTTAGTTCCGAAGAGTTCAATTTTTTTAAAAAAAACCTACAATTATTACAACTAGAGGAAACTTCAGAAAGCGAGGAATCTTTTAAAAACCTAAAAGAACCCATTGTTATAAAAAACGCCTGCCTGCACTGGCCTGCTTATAAATGGTCACCTCAGTTTCTTAATAAAAATTTTGGAAATATTACTACCACATGTCGTATCTTTAATAAAAATAAAAACATAGTTTGGGAAGCCGACTGTGCCCAAGAGAGCTGCACTCTCTCTGAATTCCTTGGTTGGTCAAGTGCGTTAGAAATTCCTGATTCTCAACCTTCTGAGAGTGTTTTAACGAGCAAAAATTGCAACTTTAAGTTAATATATAAGTATCCTATATCTAAGTTCTGGGGTTATATTGATTACAAGCATTTCCCGGAATTTTTTAACGGCTTAAAGGGAAGGTGTATTGGTCCTTTTGAGACCGACTATAGCCAAGTGCAGAAGAACAAAAAGTTTTGTGGAGAAACACTAAATCATTCAGGAGAAAACTTTTCTTGTGAGGGTAAAATTATTAAGTTGATATAAGCTCTCTGCTATACGCTTTGTTTTAAATTTTAACCTGCACACCTCAGGCCAAAAGCTACCTCTTAGTTCATCTTTCCGTTGCGAAAGTTGTTTGTCCTGTGTTCTTTCCTCAGTTAACTGGAAAGATTTTGGAATTAATAAGGGAGGTGAGAGCACTACTTTTTGGTTGGGCACTGTTGATTCATATACACCTTGCCACCAAGACGCATACGGTTTTAATCTCGTTGCTCAAGTAATTATATATTAGGCTTTTTTATGTATGTTAAAGTTACATACACGCCCTTTTATTAAGATTTATGGATACAAAGAATGGTTTTTAGTCTCACCTGATAAGAAATCCAGCGAAAAACTAAAACCCACCCGAATTCCTTATGAAGAATCGAGTATATACAGTGGCATTCACAAAATAGAAGAATTAAATCTTCAGGATAAGTATAAGGTTGTGCTTGAGCCTGGCGATGTACTTTACGTCCCTAACAAATGGTTTGATTTTACTTAAGTTGCTGATTTTGGTTAGCTAAATTTGTAAAAAGTAATTATAGGTAATGGTTACCAAAATTTATGTATAGGTGGCATTTTGTCAAAACCGTCGATTGCAAGACCAGCGTTTCCGTGAATGCGTGGGTCGATCTTCCTTGTGATCGAGAGAGTCGAGTAAAAGAATCTCTAGTAAAGTTGCTATTGTGGCCCTTTATCTCACATGAAGGTGAAATTAAAAGTCATCGCAGAAATGTTCATCCAAACGTGCAAGGCAGCCATTATAACATTCCCTGGCTAAATCCAACAGAAACTCAGTTGTCTTTTTGCTCGTGCGTCAATTATGTTCTGGAAGCGGTAACCGAAGCATCTGCTTTAAAAAATAATATAGAGCTAACCGAAGAAGACCTTATTAACTCGCTAACCAGCGAAGACGTTTTAAATTCTGTTTTAAAACAATTTAAACGACAAAATAAATGATTTATCAGATATAATGAGACAAGCAAGCCAAGCCTAATACATTTTGTTGTTTTATCATTCTGCTTATAAAAACGGACAAAAACTTTCTACCATATTTAAAGAAATTATTTTATTTTTTATAATTACTGAATTGTGCAGATGCTTGGTAATAACGAGCGCAGACTGCTTAATCTTGCAAATAATTTATATTAATTAGGTCAGACGTATTCCGTTTCGGGCAGGTTATTTCAAAAAAAAAACAACTTTCTACATATGTATTAGAGGTGTAACAAAACTGTAATATGCGCTTGAGGCACATCGCAGGGCCTCCGAAAGCGTGAGCCTTTCCAGGGTTCGTATGTACTTGAATCCACTGGGAGGATGCCTGTTAGCGTTCGCAAGAAATAGAAGTTTTTGGAAAAAGACTTCAAGTCCTTCCAAAACCAGGTGTCATGTAACGTGACCTTCCGTACGAAATAACGTGGGCCGGTTATTAGTCGCAGGATCTTGTATTGCTGTCTCTAAGGGTGCAAGCATCAACGGTCTGTCATATGTTCAGGCAACAGATGCGTAGAGCATAATATATATATTAATGGCGTTCCTGAAGCTGGATCGAGTTAACAAATTCGAATACACGAGCTCTCAAACAGGTTTTTAGTAGACCACGAGTGTAAGTATATTATCTTAATATGTGTCCTTCACGTTCAACTTAGACTTCCAACTTAGCCTCAACCGTCGTGCTGAGTGCGTCGCGTAGAACGGCGGTATTTCGCGCCGTCCCACAACTCGTGAGTTCTACCGCTTGTAGGCGATAAGCGTGTCCAGTTGTCTGTTTGTAAAGGGTGAGGACATCATTTTTAAGGAGTGCGGTCAGCAGCTTGATCCTTATTTCGTGGTGACGTGTATCATTGCGCACAAACCACGGCGCGTTAGTTAAAAAGCGCAGCCTAGTTTTTCCCACTTGAAGTGAGGACATTATTGCCGATAAGTCGTAGACCAAGGCAGGAGATGCATATATTTTAATCGGCTGAATGCACAACACAAAAAACCTTCGCTTATTGCGCAACACAAGTTTACTTTTGCTGCATAATATATTATATACCATCTAGGTCTCTGCCTTGATCTTCGCCGCCTCGTAATTTACGTTTAGACGCCACGATGGCTTGGAGCCTATGATAACCCCCAGGTATTTTACCTAAGAACACAACGGAATTTCCATGCCTTTAAAAGTTAAGGGAGTCGGCAGCGCATAAGGTTTCTTCGTTATATGAACGCCTTGCCCTTTGTTGCGTTAATGGAGAGGTCATATTGACGACACCAGCGCAAGCGACTCGGGAAAATTTTTAAGTGCTGAAGTAGTAAAAAGGGCATCTTGGACGAAGAATAAATCATCTTAACCTCGGCATAAATGGTGACCCGCATGTGCGGGTGGACCGGAAGAGGAAAGTCGTTCGTATAGTAGAGCGCATAAGCAGCAGTGATGGAAGGAAGCCTTACTGGACTTCCGCTGTAAGATAGCGAGTGCAGCGCCTACTCACACGTTAAAACCCGGTTAGTTAGATACGTCTGGAGAATCTCTTGAAGACTGCACGGTATCGCCAAAGCATGTAGCTTGTATAGCAGGCCACCATGCCATGCTTGGACAAAAGTCTTCTCGACTTTGAGAAAGACAGCGCAGGAGACTTTTTTGAAATTATTGGCTCTGGTCTCCCACTCAGTTAGGCGAAGATTTTGTTGGATCGTTGAGTGCCCCTTGCGAAATGCAACCTGAAACTCAGGTAAAATTTCGAGAGCATCCACAAGTTAAATATTTCTGCTTCCGTTATCTTACCAACTACCGACAAAATGCTAATGGGTCGATAGTTGCGAAGCTCTGATGTCATTTGCGGCGACTTCGATAACATCACTACATCGCCATTTTCCAACGCCTGGAAAAATATCCGCAGATCAATATCAAGTTGAACGAGGCCACATAGAGATACATAGCAGCCTCTGGTAACTGTTTTAACATTCAGGTTAGTGATGCCGTCAGGGTCGGGCGCCTTTCGCTTCAGTAGTAATTTAATTATAGATTTGATCCTGTTTGTGGTAGACAACTACAGAAAATAAATGATATTAGACGAGATAACATTAGGCACGAAGGAAGTTTTGTCGACAATTGAGGGGGTAGATGGCTAACGCAGGGCAGATAGATAATCATCAAAAAGTTTCACTTTACCTACATCGCTTTCGTCTCCGTTATCCCCGTTCCGAAGTAGTGTTCGAGTGGCAGATTGTTCTTATTGCTTCCTTTCAGTCTCCCAATTCGAGCAGGACAGATAAATAATCCAACGACAATTCATTTAGAGCTAAAATAGCCGTTGGAAGGCATATATTTTTTATCACGACGATACCCAACACGTCCAATGTGCCCGTTTTCCTAGCCATGTGTGTTTGGTAACTGTGGTCCTAAAACCTTTTAATCCGCATTCCTCAGCCAAAACCTCAAGGATCTAGCCATCCCGGTTTGCAACCCGACTGTTCTACGCAGCATGTTTACATTTAAAATCTTCGCATAGAATGACTGGAAAGTCATGCACTAAAGAGGGTCGAGATTG